TTATCTCCTTTCAAAGCCTGCATTAAAACAAATGAATGGTCTGCCATATATTTTATTTTTCTTTTCTCAACTCCCAATTCTCTCTTGATAGTTATGTCCAATTTAGGTGTCTTAAGATTCATGTGTAACTTAAACCTCTGCCTTCCTCCTCCCTCAAAGGTTACCTTCCTCTAATCTAGTGGAAATCAAGGCCAGGAGTAGGAAAGTAGGTTTTTGTCTTACCTCCCACCCTAATTGTTCACCTGGTGTTATTTCTCCACATCTGCTGACCCTAGCCATCCCCAGTGTTGTTGGGGCTTGCTGCTAGTTATTGCCCAGAATTTTTGGATTAGTCCCCTTGATAGTCTGCCTGTGTGGCAGCAGCAGTATCAATGTCGGGCAGGTCCACCGTTCTCCAGGATCCCACCGCACAGGCTGTAGGGGGATATCACACTTTACTGAAAGAGTTGAGTGGATGAACCCTTAGTTTTTGGAGTAGAATAATTCTTTCTTGGGTAGATATGTCCCATGCATTATATAACACTTAGCATCCCTGGTCCTGGGGAACTGAAACCTGATAGCCCACGCTAATTATTGTGACAGTCAGAACTCCTCCAGAAGTTCCCAAACATTCCTGGTGAAAGGGAAATGTCCCAGATTGAAAACTACTGGATTAGAGTCATTAAAGTAAATTCTATTTAAAAACAGAAAAATTGGGGGGCACCTGGGTGGTTTGGTCATTGAGCGTCTGCCTTCCGCTCAGGTCATGATCCCAGGATCCTGCGATCGAGCCCTGCATCAGGGTCCCTGCTTGGAGAGAAGCCTGCTTCTCCCTCTGCCTCTGCTGCCGCTCCCCCTGCTTGTGCTCACTCTCTCTCTCTCTCTCTGTCAAATAAATAAATAATCTAAAAAAATAAAAATAAATAAAAACAGAAAAATTTCATAAAATTGACAACTATATGTTTTCTTATAATCGAAGGGAAAACTATTTACCAAGTTACATGAATCCTTTTAAAGGCCTTCTTAGTTTTTAACCTGGTTTCCTTGTCTTCAAGTCTTTGCCTTTCTCTAAAAGCCTTTCCTTCTTCACAAAACCACACTGCCTACCAGCAGAGATTCTAGTCTATTAACATAGCCACTAGCCTCATGTGTCTACTGAGCACTTAATATGTGACTAATCCAAACCGAGATATGAAAATACACTTAATACAAAGAGGATATAGAAAATTCTAATAATTTTATGTTGATACATTTTGAAATATTTTTGATATAAGGTAAATAAAATATTGAAATTAATTTCTACTGGTTTTTTTTTAAGGTGGCTACTAGAACATTTTAAATTACATATGTAGCTTACGGGTTTTTTTTTTTAAGATTTTATTTATTTATTTGACAGAGAGAGCGCACAAGCAGGGGGAGCAGCAGAGGAAGAGGGAGAAGCAGGCTCCCCACTGAGCAAGAACCTGAGATCATGACCTAAGCCAAAGGCAAATGCTTAACCAACTGAGCCACCCAGGCGCCCCTATAGCTTGTGTTTTATTTTTAGTGGACAGTGCTGATAAATTGTGTCTCACTGTGGAAGGGCACAGGGGTTCAATCTGGTTGGATAAAGGAACTTAAAGCTACACTTGCATTGTACATTATATAAGGTTGAGGAAACGTACTCAGTATGAAAGACCTGGGGGGATTCTTATTTTTTACTGTGATAAAACATACATAAATTTACCATTTTTAAGCATACCACTTAAGTGGTACTAAGTACATTCACATTGTTGTACAACTGTCACCATCATCTTCCCCACTGAAATTCTATACCCATTAAACACTCAACTCCCCATACCCTTTTTCACCCAGCCCTGCAGCCACCTTAGTACTTTCTGTCTTTGAATTTGACTAATCTAGGTAATATAATTGTGGAAAAAGACAGTATTTGTCCTTTTGCAATTGGCTATTATACTTAGCAGAATGTATTCAGGGTTCATCCATGTTGTAGTATATGTCAGAATTTCCTTCCTCTTTAATCCTATCGTATGCGTATGCCACATTTTGTTTATTCATCTGTCAAGGGACACTTAAGTTATTTCCACCTTTTGGCTATTGTGAACAATGTTGTTATGAACTTAAGTATACAAACATTTGTTTGAGCCTCTGCTTTCACGTCTTTGGGGTATATTCCCAGAAGTGGAATTTCCAGATCATATGGTAACTCTAAGTAATTTTTTGAGGAATCACCATACCCTTTTTACAAAAACTGCCTATTTTTCATTCCCACCACTGTATAAGGATTCCAGTTTCTTCACATCCTCATAAGTACTTGTAATTTTCTGTTTTTTGTTTTGTTTTTATAATGGCCATCCGAATGGGTATAAAGTGGTATCTTACTGAAGTTTTGATTTGCATTTTCCAAATGACTAGTGTTGAGCATCTTTTCATGTTCTTGTTGGTATTTGTATATCTTCTTTGGAAAATATGTGTTCAAGTCCTTTGCCTGTTGTTGAAGCAGATTATTTTTGTTATTGTCCAAATGTGAGAGTTTTTTTTATATATTCCCGAATCAATTGCTTATCAGATATATGATTTGCAAATACGTTTCTCTCTTCTCTCAGTTGCCTTTTCACTTTTGATAGTGTTCTTTGATGCATAAAACCTTTTAATTTTGATGTAGTCCGATTTATTTTTTCTTTTGTTGACTATGCTTTTGACATCATATCCAAGAAATCATTGCCAAATCCAAAGAAGCTTTCTCCCTATGTTTTTCTCTAAGAGTTTCATAGTTTTAGTAGGTCTTCAATCTATTTCGAGTTAATTTTTGCATATGCTGTAAGGTAAGGGTCCATCTTCATTCTTTTGCATATGGATATCCAGTTTTCCCAACATCATTTGTTGAAAAAGACTGTTCCTAGCAGAGGGGGTATAGCTCAGTGGTAGAGCATTTGACTGAAAAAGACTGTTCCTTCCTCATTAAGTGGTTTTGGCACCCTTGTGGAAAATCATTTGACCATACAAGGGTTTATTTCTAGGCTTTCTAATCTGCTCCACTGATATGTCTGTCTTTATGCTGTACTATACTACCTTGATTACCATAAATTTGAAGTGAGTTTATAAATCAGGAAGTATGAGATCTCCACCTTTGTTCTTTTTCAAGAATGTTGTGGCTATTTGGGGGGCATCCCTTGAGATTTCATATGAATTTTAAGATGGATTTTTTAATTAAGTCTAAAATCCATGAACATAGGATATCTTTCCATTTATGTGTGTTTTTAAAAAAAATTTCAGCAATGTTTTGTATTTTTGGTGTCCAAGTCTTTCACCTCCTTGGCTAAATTTCTGCCCAAGTATTTTATTCCTTTTGATGCTATTGTAAATGGGATTGCTTTCTTAATTTCCTATCTAGATTCTTCATTGTTAGTATATAGAAACACACCTGATTCTTATGTATTGATTTTGTATCCTGCAACTTTGCTAAATTTATTTACTAGTCCTAACAGTGTTTGTGGAACCTTTAAAGTTTTCTGCATATAATATGCCACCTGAGAACAGAGATAATTTTACCTTTTTTGTCTCCATTTTGGATGCCTTTTATTTACTTTTCTTGCCTAATTGCTCTGGCTAGGACTTCCAGTATTATGTTGAATCAAGTGCTGAAAGCAGGCTTCTTGTCTTGCCTTGAGGGGACTCTTGAAGGAGATTATTTGGGCATGCCTACCTGTGGTACTACAGCACTATCTCCTACCTACCACAGGGTAGGACTGTTTGAAGATCTGTAACCCTACTTCTCAGAATTGTAGTTCCCTAAATCTGAGTTATTTAGATGAGAATAATGCTCCAGCCAGTGAAGGTCTTTGGAAGGATGGTTAATAGTAACCCATGACACTAAAAATATCAAAGAGTTCTTATCTACCACCTCTCAATCCCATACATTCCAAAGAGCAGAACCACTTGGCAGTTTCTTAACTAGTGAGTTGCCAGCTTCCTTCTTCATTTTTCTCATTGTCCAGAAAATAATTATTAAAACACACACACGTTTTCCACAAACAAAATTAATTTTTTGAAACAGTTGAAACTAGAGAACCTGAACTCAAATGCCCAGGCAGTCAGAAATAAATGAAATAGGAAAGTTAAGAAAAATAGGGACTGATAAAGGTTATGGGCAGATGTTTGTAGTCATGTGTGGATAGGAGTTCAGGGTTGACAAATCTTGCAGATTTTCAAGAGAAGGTGGAAATCAAGATTTTTATGTAAATTGTATGGATTTCTAGCATAGTTCAGACTTAATATATAGTCAATTTTAAACTTTTAATCTAAAAGAAAAATAAAGGGGCACCTGGGTGGCTCAGTTGGTTAAGGGTCTGCCTTCAGCTCAGGTCATGATCCCAGGGTTCTAGGATTGAGCCCCGCATCAGGCTCCCTGCTCGGCCAAGAGCCTGCTTCTCCCTCTCCCTCTCCCTCTCCCTCTGCCCGCCGCCCCCGCTTGTGATCTTTCTCTCTCTCTCTCTCTCTCTGTCAAATAAACAAAATCTTTAAAAAAAATAAATGAAAAATAAAAGAAGAAAAATCTACAGTATTAACTTGACTGCCCTATAATTTGTGAAGCTGCTTCTTTCACCAATGAATTAATTTTTCTCATTCCAGAAAATAGTGTAGCTTTTTAGTAAAGAATTCTTCCACAGCAGGCTTTGGGAGGTGGTTACATGCATGCAGGCCTGCCAGAAATTAGAAATAAGAGCCTTCCCTTATTTGCAAACGGCCTGGATTAGGTTCTGGAATTGCCACATATAAAGATAAAATTCTTAGCTAAGGGCCTTTTTTTTTAATTTAAAATTTGTTGTTTCTAAGTAAGTAGATTTTGAAATATGAAAACATCATTATATAACAAATCATGAGTTTGAAACTATTTTCTGCATTCAGGTTTTTTAAATTTTATTTTATTATGTTGTTAGTCATCATACAGTACATCATTAGTTTTTGGTTTTTAAGACTTACTCCTTCATTCAGTTATCTACTTTGTGTTTCACATATAGAGCTTTTGAAGAAAAACGAAAAGAACAAGAAGAAAGAGAACAACAAATCAGAGAACAAATACTTCAACAAAGAAAAGAGAAGTTTGTAGAAGTCACTGAAAAATTCCAGCGTGCTCATATTCCTCTTTCACAAAGGAGGAGAGCAGGTATCTGAACTTCTAGGACAATATGAGGACAAAAGTGAAAATTATATCATATTCAACTTGCGTAGACAATAAAATGATAAATTAAGAAAGAAAGTGTAAATTTTTCAAACTAAAAAGTATACCTTTTGAGCAATAAGACTTTAACCAAATAAAAAATTGTAATTTGATTTAGGTTTAATTTGGAGACTATTTTGTTGGCTCTATTAGTAAATTCTGAAAGTTCACAAGTTTGATTCTACTTCATACTGGCTTACAACATTTTGTCTTTTTAAAACTACGTAGTAAAAGGAAAATTTAACATTTAGGTCAGTAAATTAGCATCACATTCATTCTGGCATTTTATTCACATTTTGGTTCAAATTCTTATTTAAGAGACTGACAAAATAAAAAGAAAGTGTACAAAGTGATATAATCTAACAATCTGAGGCCTGGAATCAATTAAGAATTTAAATACAATTATGGTTGATTCTTTGGTACCATATCTACATTTTTTTATACCTTAAATAGCAACACAGAATTAACTATAAAATGTCAAAGCTTCAAAAAGAAAAAGGGGCACCTGAGTGGCTCAGCTGGTTAAGCATCTGACTCTTGATTTCGGTTCAGGTCATGATCTAAGGGTCATGAGATTGAGCCCTATGTCAGGCTCTGAGCACTGGGCATGGAGCCTACTTAAGACTCTCTCTCTCCCTCTCCCTCTGCCCCTTACCTACACCCCCACTCACGCACACATGCCCTCTCCAAAAAAGGAAGGAAAGGAAAGGAAAGAAAAGGGAAGAAGGAAGGAAGGAAGGAAGGAAAGAAAGAACAGGCAGAACCTTTATGTTCAGCGAACACGTTGTACTATACTGTACTTAGCCCTGGGCTGAGATATAGAGAAATGTAATCATACTCTACCATTAAAGATCTCACAGCTTATTTTGGAGATGAGAGTAATGTAAACAATGTCAATAAATATACTGAGAATCGCTGTGGTAACAGAATGTGTAAAGTACTGTGTGAGCACAGAAGGAAGAACACTAAACCTATACAGGGACATCAAGGACATCATCCCTGGAAAAAAATGACTTAATTTGAATCATGAAGAATGAGCATTTTGCCAAGCAAAGAGAAAAAAAAAAAGTTAAATCCCCAACAGAAGGAAAAACTTTTACAAATAAGTTATGTATTAAAGAGCATCCTGAGGCATAGGATGGGGAAGGTGAAGATGAATGAATGTGAGACTAGAAAATAAGCTAGAACCAATGCTCAAAGAGCTTGGCGTATCATGCTAGGAATTTTGTCTGTATCCAAAATGCAATCCATTTAAAGTTTTTTAATTGAAAAGCAAGCTATTATTGTGTCAGTAAGGGATCCTAATATAATTAAAAGGCAAGATAATAACATTAAGAACAATATGAGTCAGCTAGTAACACCCCTAAAAATAATAATAGCTTAAATATGGTATGGGTTTATTTTTCTCTCGTATAATACGAAGTCCTGAAGTAGGCAGTCACAGCTGGTTTGATGACTATGCAGTGTCACTGGGAACTCAAATGCCTCCTGTCTCTCAGCTCAACTATCCTTAGTTTGTGATTTATAGCTTCATCCTCATGGTCACGTTGTAGCTGCTGGAGCTCCAGCCATCATGCCAATGTTGTAGGCAGAAAGAAGGAAAAATTGTAAAGGACAAAAGTTGTACCTCTGAGCTCCTTTTAAATTATTTTCCTAGAAGTATCCATCTGTCTACTTATGTGTAATTGGCAGCTCCATGTGCAAGGGAGACTGAAAAAAGAAAAATCTTTAATAAGGCTGTGTTGCTACCCCTAACTATTAATATGAGGTCTGTTGCCAAGGAAGAAAGGGAAAATGAATCCTAGGTGGGAAACTTGAGGGTCTCTACTGCAATTAGATTTGTTTGTTAGAAAGATAATTACTGTTACAACATGGAAGTGGATTGAAGTAAAGACATACTAAAGTAGATAGACTAGTATGAGATTATTTCAATATTTGTGGCAAGAGGGGTTAAGCTGTACTCATATGGAGAAAAGTGGTAATGTATTCAGGAGCTATAAGCAATAGATTTCAGTTACTAATTGATGGAGAGTGGGGAAAGAAAGTCTGGGTGGAGAGCAGTGCCCCTAGGACTTAGCAGAGAGCCTCACACATTTTTATACTTTTTAAATGAATTATTTTAATAGATGATGATAATATCAAGTTTATGGATAAAGGAGAATCAGATTAGAGGTGTGAATGACCATTAAGTTTTAAATGCACTGATTTTGAGCCTCCTATGGCTCATCCAAATGGGAAAATCAAATCAGCAACTAGAAATATGGGTCTGTGGGGCGCCTGGGTCACTCAGTCAGTTGGACATCTGCCTTCAGCTCAGGTCATGATCCCAGGGTCCTGGGATCGGGCCCTGCGTTGGGCTCCCTGATCAGTAGGGAACCTGCTTCTCCTTCTCCCTCTGCCTGCCGCTCTCCCTACTTGTGTGTGCGCACTCTCTCTCTCTGTCAAATAAATAAGTGAAATCTTTAAAAAGAAAGGAAGAAAGGAAAGAAAGAAGAGAAAAGAAAAGAAATATGGGTAAGAAAGAAGAGAAAAGAAAAGAAATATGGGTCTGAAATTTAAGAAAAAGATATGGAATAGAGATGTATATTCAAGAGTCACTAATGAATGGTATATAGTTGATAAACGAAGCCATGGGAAAGATAAGCTAAACCAGGGTATAGACCACAGTTTGAAGGTAGGGCCTAAAATAGAATCTTAATGCACACTAGTATTTACTGTAGGTAGAGCAGGAAAAAACTAAAAGAGGATTTTGAAGAGGATTTTGAGAAGTAGTTCCCAAGAATGCACAATGGGAAACAAAAGCAAATAATATGTGAGAAGGCAAAAGAGAATGTAGTTTTAAGAAAGAGGATGTGGCCCATTACATTAAATGCCTGAGAAAAGTAGTTACCACTCATGGGAATTATTTGCTCCAAAGAGGGTGCTGACTACCAAAAGGTCTGGATACAAAGAGGAGTTTCAGCGAAAACAAATGACACATTCATGCAGTGGAATATTATACAACTATTAGAAAAATAATGGAGAAACTGTTTGTGGACTGATGTGGGAAGTTCTCCAGCAGAAGTAGATTTACTGTGAAGCTCCTGAGGCTTGAGTTTCATGAGCCCTCACTGTCATGGCCCCTACACCTAATTTTATATTAGTAATTTTGCATTATTTTTTCCTAACAAAGTCTCCCAAGTTGTATAAGCCCTTTGCTCTCATAAAATTTGTGTCTATCCCTGATTTTTAGGATATATTGTTAATCATAAAAAGAAGGTCCAGATCACAATATATAATATTCTGCCTTCTGGTAAGAAAAGGGGGAAATTAGAATGTATACTTATATTTGCATACAGAAACAGTGAAGGAATATACAAATGACCCCGGAGAACAAGACTTCCAAATGTGTATCATATATATTTTTTAACTTCTGAATATGAATACATTATCCATACAAAATATCAAATTAATATTTTAAGAAAATTCAATGCTGGACGCCTGGGTGGCTCAGTCAGTTGGGAGTCTGCCTTCGGCTCAGGTCATGATCCTGGGATCCTGTGATCAAGTCCCGCATCGGGCTCCTGGCTCAGCGAGGGGTCTCCTTCTCCCTCTCCCTCTGCTGCTCCCCCTGCTCATGCTCTCTCTCTCTCTCTCTCTGACAAATAAATAAAATCTCAAAAAAAAAAAAAAGAAAATTCAATGCTATGAATGAAGAGTAAGAACAAAGCTATGAAAGGCAGCTATCTATTTAATTGTCTATTAGTTTAGTTTATTCCCAAATCCTGAAGGTTAACTGAAGGCTCACCAGGTAAGCATGATAGTTGGCTCTCCCCCTTCCTACAAAGAAGGGCAGCAGGTTGGGGGTCTCAGTGAGGTCAGAAAACTGCTGGAGTAGAACTGGAAGGCTCCGAGGTCCCGGAGTAACTGAGGTCATTCTGCAGGAGCACAGGCTTCTGCGGTCAGTGGAGAATGAGAGGGAGGCACTGGGAGGTCCTTGGACACCAGCAGCACAAAGCATTAATGGGCGGTGGTAAACCAATCTCAGGCATTTTTCTTTTCATTGAGGTATAACTGACATATGATATCCTGTTAGTTCAGATGTACATCTTTGTGATTCAGCATTTTTGTATGTTACAAAATGATCCCCACAGTAAGTGTAGTTCCATCTGTCACCACACAACGTGAGGACAGCGTTACTGACTCTGCTCCCTGTGCTGTACATCCCATCCCCATGATGTACTTATTTTATGCCTGGAAGTGTGCACCTCTTTTTTTTTTAAGATTTTATTTATTTGAGAGAAAGAGAGTGAGAGAGAGAGTGCACGAGAGGGGGTAGGGTCAGAGGAAGAAGCAGACTCCCCGCTGAGCAGGGAGCCCGATGCGGGACTCGATCCTGGGACTCCAGGATCATGCCCTGAGCCGAAGGCAGATGCTTCACCAACTGAGCCACCCAGGCACCCCTGGAAGTCTGTACCTCTTAATCCCCCCACCTGCTTCACACTTCACCGGCCCCTCCATCTTTGCCCCTTCTGGTAACAGTTTGTTTCCTCTCTCTCTGAGTCTGTCTGTTTTGTTTTGTATGTTCGTTTGTTTTGTTTTTTAGAGTCCACATATAAGTGACATCATATGGCATCTGTCCTCTGACTTATTTCACTTAGCATAATGCTAAGTCCATCACATTGTCTCAAATGGCAAGATTTCATTCTTTTTTTTTTTTTTTTGAAGATTTATTTATTTATTTGACACACACACACAGAGAGAGAGAGAGCACTAGCACAAGCAGGGGAAGCAGCAGAGGGAGAGGGAGAAGAAGGCTCCCCGCTGAGCAAGAAGCCCGATGTGGGACTCATTCCCAGGACCCTGGGATCATGACCTGAGTGGAAGGCAGATGCTTAACTGACTGAGCCACCCAGGCGCCCCATGGATTTCATTCTTTTTTATGCCTGAGTAATATCCCATCATGTTTATATACCAGGTCTTCTTTATCCATTAATCTGTCAGTGGACATAGGTTGCTTCCATTTCTTGGCTGTTGTAAATAATGCTGGGATAAACATATTGATGCATCTGTCTCTTCAATTTAACATTTTTGTTGAGCTGAGTTAGTGTTAAAGTTAGTGTCTAGGCCCTCTTTGGTAGATAACAGGTGGTGGTTAATAAAAGCAAGTCTCAGACCATTCACACAGCTTGTTCAGTGAGCTGAGTAAAGTCGCAGTGTTCTGGCCTTGCACGTGCTCTAACTACACCTTATGTGAAAGGGTTACCGAGGCACTCACAGCCACATTCCAGAGACAAAACTGTGTGCCCTCTGGCTTTGGACATTTGGAAATGTTCCTGTATTAATGGTTGAACACAAGACTGATTAGATGTCAAGACTCAGAGGTCATCCATAGGGTAAAGGACATAGACCTCCCCAGATTCTTATTCTCTGTTCATGTAAAGGTAGGGAGTGATTGACATATGTTTAGGAAAATGCACTTGTCTTGAATTACTTTAATTTCAACAAAGAAAGCCCATTTTTAACATTCATCAAGCTATTCAACAGGCTGTTATTTTCACTAATGAAAACCCTTGTTAGACGGTGAGTATACTAATTAGAAAACCAGTCAATATATAACACTTGATAGTATCTGCCTCAAAAGGATTGGTTCTTTACGACTAGAATATCTTGTCAGCCCTGTCATAACTGATGGTATATTAATGCCATCATCCCTTGATTAGGGAAATGGACTCTCCAGGGTTCAATGTGAACTAACCCATATATAATAATATACTGGCTTTGCTTCCGCATTTTAAAGTAAAACATCACAATAGTGGAAAAGTCTGATAACAAAGGGGCTTTTTAAAGGAGGAGGAGATACAGTTTGGAGGTGTCAATGGAGAACTTGAAAGGCGGCTACCCTACCTCCATGCCTTGAGTTGTCTGTGGTTTGTGATGGGAGGGAAATAGTGCCTCCATTTTAGCAGGCTGCAAGAGAACAGTATCCCTTGAAGACAGCTGTGTTTCACCTGGAGCAGGAAGGTGAGCAGAATATGGAGAGGTCGGAGAAGTAGAGCCTGTTGAGTACAGAGGGCACAGTGGAAGGCTTCGGGGAAACGGGCACACATGGGGAGCAGGGTTGGTTAAAGGGTGTGCTGCGTACTATGTAGACAAATGTCCACAGAGTCTATGGCCCTAAACTGGGCCCCAGTTTCCTCCATTGCAAAAGGGAGGTTCAAATAGCATCTGCCTCACAGGCCATAGTGAGGATTAAATTAGCTAATAGTTACAGTGTGCTTAAAAATAACATCTCTAACAGTAAGTGCTCAGTAAACAGTAGTGGGTGTTTTTTATGCCTTCCCATTTTCTTCATAAGAATATTAATAAACTTTGGGGCACCTGGGTGGCTCAGTCAGTTGAGTGGCTGACTCTTGATTTCGGCTCAGGTCATGGTCTCAGGGCTGAGGGACTGAGCCCCACATCGGGGCTCCATGCTCAGTGGGCAGCCTGCTTGAGATTCTCTCCCTGTCCTTCTGCCCCTGCCCCTGCTAGTGCGCTCTTGCTCTCTTTCTCTCTCTCTCAAATAAATAAATTTTTTAAAAAATCAGTAAATTTTGTCAGAAATTTATGGAATCCTGAGATCAAATATAGTGGGGTGCATGCCAGAATGAAGAGCCTAGACATTTCTCAAAGTTTCTTTCCAGATAAATATTCTTAAAATTGGCAAGTAACAGTTTCTCTGTGGGTAATTAGATGTCTAAATTTAAAATATTTACACTATTCTAAAAAATATTTTCTTTTTACAAAAGTTTTAAAGTAGTATTTTATTATTGACCAATTATCTAAAAAGAGATAATTGAAAATGAAGTGATTCTGTACTTTTTGACTTTTATTTATTATCCCCTTAGTTTTTAAAAAACCAGTTCCTCCGTTGGAAGAAGCCCTCAAGCAAATTCAGGAATCCAACTTAAAATCAGAAGTAAACCTCCTCCCTTCCCACAGACCAACAATAAATTGGAAGTAAGTAATTTATTATTATAATGTATAATTATTAATATATAATAATTAAATAGGGTTTTTTGCTGAGTTTGTAGGCCTTTTCATCAGTTACTCCTCACCTTTACTGTAGCATTTACTATTTTATTCTCACAGATTAATTTGAGGTAGAGCAGGATAGAAACTGCTTCAAGAATAAGGCAAAATTCTAATTTATTGTCTTTGGTATTACAGTGCTGCCTATGTTGAATTATTTTCCATGGAAACTATCACTAAAACCATTTAAAAATATTGATGTTCATTATTTATCCTTACTGAGAGGAAAAAACTGTGTTGTAGTGATATAAGTTTAGATAAAAGGAGTAATTTATGGTAGAAATGGGTTTTTCCTCATGGAAAAAATCTTTCTTGGATCTCTTGAAAAAGCTAATGTCTCCTGGTCCCTCTCCAGGGTAGCTTAAGTGAATTATCTAGGAGCAGTAGAATGGCTCAGAGTACCCTGTGACATCTTATATTTTCCATTTACTTATTATAAATGTTTATTGAAGCTACAACATGCATAGTACTAGATCAGGCATTGTAAGGGGGATGTGGACAAGTACAACACTGTAAAATACAATTCCTAGTGTATAATCTAGGAGAGAAGCAAAATAGTGCTTCAAAAAGTATAAATAGTACCAAATGAGTAATGATAATAATATATAATATTTATTTATATAAAGGCATTTACAATTTGGACATTAATTATGTTAATATTTTACCTGTACATAATGTTATTTACTAAAGTACTTCCATTTTTAGACTATGTATGGCCAGTATGTAGTTCCCTTGATCAGAGCTAAGAACAATTAAATTCATTTTCTCAGTCATCATTATAGTTCAGGAAAGACCTCATGGAATAGAAGATTCTTCAACAAAGCTTTGAAGAAGATAGGAATTGGTTATGAAACAGGTGGGCCCTGGGACTCCAGACAGAGGGCCAAGAGTGATGGAAGGAATGGTGTGTTCTGGGGTTAGGAGTGTGCACAGTAACAGTAGCTTGGCTAGACAGGAGATTGGAGAGTAGAGGCATCTGTACACTAAGGAATATAAACTTTATCTTGAGAGTTCAAGAGGAGTCAGTGAAGGATCTTAAGTAGATGGGTGGTAAGATCAACTTTTCTTTTTTAATATATCATTCCAATCTACTGTGAACAAATGTGAATAATGGATTGAAAGAGGACAAAACAGGAGGCTATTTCAATACACGTAATTGAAATTATATGATTCAGAGCTCTAGAGAAAGATGCAGGCTTAAGGTCATTGAACAGCATACAGTGGATGAGACACAGCCAAGGAGAATGTGTACTGTGATGACAGGCCTAGGACAGAGCACTGAAAACAGCCACGTTTAAGGAAGTAGAAGAAAGAAGCCTACAGATACGGGCAGAAAGGTTGATACAGGACTAGGAGAGGGTTGTGCTATGGAAACTAAAGAAGGATAGAGGTTCTAGAAAAAAAAGCAGTTTATAGAGATCAAATGGCTTCTAGGGAATTAGTCACACAAGCTGTTGTCCTGGCCTGAAACAGGTAGCCTATTTAAAAGGGGGTATGGGAGAGGGGCTAATGAAGGAACTGGAAAGCCAGCACAGGATCGGGGCCCCCAAGAACTAACGACCACAGAATCAGTATGACCCCCACAGACCTGACCTGGAGACATGGGTAGCCATAGACGAGCGTTGCCAGAAGACCCCGTGTCCTCGGTGGAGGAGCCCAGCACAGTGGAAGCTAGAAGACTAATGATCAAAAACGTCTTTTGAGAAAGAGAAGCAGTGAAGGTTTTTAATCAGGGACTGATTTTTTTAAGACTTTATTTGAGAGAAAGAGCAGGAGAGGGGTATGGGGGAGGGGCAGAGGAAGAGGGAGAAGCAGACTCCCCTCTGAGCAGGGAGCCCGATGTGGGGCTCTGGGGCTCGATCCCAGGACCCTGAGATCATGACCTGAGCCAAAGGCAGATGCTTAACCGACTGAGCCACCCAGGCTCCCCCATCAGAGACTGATAAAATCCTCTTTGTCATTTTAGAAAGATAATTGGTGTGAATGTTGGAGAATGAAAAGGATGGAAAGAAAGTGAAGGCAAGGGAACAAGAGAAGATTAATGGGATGATCCAAAGGATAGATCATTACTGTTTAAACTGGAATAGTACTGTTTTGTATAGTGAGGAAATGATAGGTCTGTGAAGGAATAAAAATATTTTGGTGAGAAGGAAAGGATGAGAGAAGGAAAGATGCAAACACCTTTTCACAGCACAGAGAACTGATGTAAGAAAGAGGATTTAAGAATGTTGACCAGATAAAAGTATGAAATGTGGAGCATGGAGTGATTAATGGCAGGAAAATCAGGAGGTATCCAGCCATGAACTTAAAAAGACTTATGGTTAAAAGGATAGTAGTAGTGAAATCGAAAGGAAAGATAGAAGGAAAAGACATTTCATAGAAATAGACTATGGAAATTAGATTATGAATTTGGTGTATGATGGGATAAAGAAAACGAAAAAAAGCAAAAAAGATCAAAAGAAGCTGAAATTTTGAGTCTTGATAATTGAGGGAATTTGTTGACTTTAAAAATAAAAAGAAACAATGAAGCAGTATAAGTTTGGCAAGATACTGCTAAATTTCATTGCAGGCATCTGAACTGAGGGGATAAATATCCAAGTAGAAATGTATAAAAACATTTGGACCTAAAATGAAATGAGAGATCCAGGCTATAGAATACACTTGAAAGTCATGGTTGTATATGTTGTTCCTTCATTTTTATATGTAGTTCTGTCTTCCCAACCAGAACGGGATATTCTAGGGATCAGTGGCTAAACGGTACACACGCAGGTATTCCCTGTAGTTCCTGGCTCAGGGCTGCGCACGTTGGAGGCGTTCAATAAATACTACGAGTGGAGGAACATCCCTGACATACGTGGACCCTCCGAGAGTATGAACTTGACCTGAAGTCAGTAGACGAGGAGACTGGTCAGAGACAAACACCGGGAGGGCACTCCAGCCGGGGGAGCAGGTAGCGTGGGAAAGGGCGTGCTGTGTTGGGGGCGCTGAACGTAGCTCAGTCCCGCTAGCGTGCCCAAGGAGAAGGGGACTTGTGAGCAGAGAGGTTGCTTGGAAAGGAAGCCATGAGTTAACTCATGAAGAGCCCTGTTAAGGAGTTTGTCCTACAGATAATGACTGAAGCAAGCATTCAACATTTATACTTTAGAAATACTGCGAGAACGAGAAGGAGTAGGGTACCGCTAAAGGTGGGAAATAGCTAAGGTGATACTTCAGTCAATAAAAATGAAGACTTCTTGAGAGTTGTTTAGGAGGGGAATTAACAGGATTTGGTGACTTTAAGAACTGGAAGGTGTTCGGGAGGAGTGAAGCATGACTGGAGATCAGGACTGGTCAGTTAACAGGTAGTGAAACCATAAGAACTATTAGGGAAGAAGAGGTGTGAAGGAGGGAGTGCCTGGCAAAAGGATCTTAAGTGGTAAGTCTGAGGCACTTAGGGGACATTTCCGAGCCAATTTCTCATGGTAAGAGCTCTCAGCCACAGATCTAGATACGATAATTGCCAATGAATGGATGAAGTTAAAGACATGGTTCATGAGTTCAGCTAAACAGTGAAACTCCCAGCAAGCTGTGTTGGGCTTCAGTTAGAGGACAGAAAACATTTCACGGCAACAGGCAACATTCTTCAGCGGGAGGGATCCTCCTGGCAGATCACAAAGCAGTCGTCCCCGCACATGACAGCTCAGCTACAAGGAAACAAGATCACAGGGTGGGTGGGTGCCTCCCTGGCTAGAAACCCCGTGTTCCAAACAGGAACCAGTATTCCTGGCAATGGCTCCATATGGATCACGCCTAGGTCCATGAGAGAGACACGTCCAGTAATAAGAATTTCCACACTCGGGGAAAACCACAGCTGTAGCTTCGTGCCAGCTATCTGGGGTTGATTCAGTCCCCTAGATTACACAGAGCATGGTTAGATAAGCAAAAAAGAGCGTCACATAACTCTCAAAAATTCCAGCATAATAAAAAAAGTGAATTCTTTAGCTCAAGAGTACACCTTGTAAAAACTCACCAAAGTGTATAGCTGTTTTGCTAATTTAGATGAAAGTGCAAAACTTTACTGGATTTCAATACATTAGCACTTTTTTTAAGTTTTTATTTATTTATTTGAGAGAGAGAGAATGAGCAGTGGGGAGGGGCAGAGAGAGAGAGAGAGAGAGAGAAGCAGACTCCCACCTGAGCAGGAAGTCTGATACAGGACTTGATCTCAGGACTCTGAGATCATGACCTGAGCCGAAGGCAGTTGCTTAACCAACTGAGGCACCCAGGCAACCCAATACATTTGTTTTTACACCAAAACTTTACAAATTAAAACTGGAATTCTGTCAGTATCTTTTTAACAGAATTACCTGGAGTAAGGAGATAAAATAATTATATCTCTTTTGACCTTTTGGAAAGGTTTTTTTTTTGTTTTTTTTTTTTTAGTTTTACAAGTATATTTAACAGCAAGAGTTAAATATAATTTTATATTTATAAAGCAAGAGTCCATTTCAATGTTTAGCTACTCTCTGGATTTTGGAAGCAAAGTACCAAGTCTTAATAAGATAGTGCCCACATAGATGAACTTCCCCTGAGGGCGTGGAGACCAACAGATTGAGTGCATCTTGATGATGCTTGAGATTTGTCTTGCAATGTTAGGTTAAGCAAATCACATTAATTTTCTTTGGAACTTAGTCTCCCAGCACTTATTGTGATTACAAAGTATTTACCAGATATTTAACGAGGAGCTTTGTTTGTGAAAAAATACCATCTAACTCAAAAACACTATTGATGTGGAACACCAGATTACACTGTGTAGCAGTCAGTCCCTTAGGATATTTTTTTTAATTGTGGGTTATTTTCTGATTCTCATTTTTGGGGTTCTTAAATCTTAGCAAGCATCACCAATAATAAATACCAAGAGTCCATTTTACCTTTTTTTTAAAGTTGCAGCAATTGTCTGTTATGATAAAATAATGATTAGGGATGGAGCTCTGAGTGCCCAGAAGGGAATCCGTACCAGTTGTTAGTCTGCTTTGTCTTATTTAGGAGCCACCGCATTTTTTCCCCACTGTTAATAACCAAGATAATTAAGTTAGAAGGTGGCCATTTTGTTATGCTTATGAGACTACAGTTCTCAATTTTGGGTTAGAGGTTTGGCTTCTATAAAAATGTTGTTTTAAAATACATTTTGAATTATAAGAACAAAAGAAATTTTTTGTACTTTTGTTTCATTTAATTGGAATAATTTTCAAGTTTCTACAAATAGGGTAATTGTAAATTTAAAGCATTAAGCTTTATTGGTGAATAATGTATATATTCCCATTCCAAGAAATATAAGTGAATGACATTGAAATAGTCTTTAAAGTTTACTATAAAAAAGAAATTCCAGCATATAAAGGACAAGTGAAGAAAGGAGCTAAAGAAAGAACCGGAGAAGGAACAACTGGAGAAGTAGGAAAATAACCAGGAAAGCACGATGACATGCAAACCAAGGGAATTAAAGTCAGAAAGACAGAGGTCCAGAACTGTCTGTTTTTAGTTAATTGCGAGCAAAAGCAGTACCTCGGAGCCACGGGAGGAGGCCGGACAGCAGTGGCCAAGGAAGTCTCGGGGGTGAAGGCAGTATAAGTTTAGAGTACTCCATGGGGAAGGGAAGATGACAGACATTTAGAGGGAATTTAGAGTAATAAAAATTCCAAATCATTTAGTATAAAAGTAATATGCATTTTTGTATACAGGTTTTCCTTACTCACAGGTTTCTCTTTCTGCGTATCAATTATTATCCTATGTGTTATCAGATATTTTCAATAAAAAAGCTCTTTATTGCTAGGAATGAAAGTATAGGCTATTTTTTGCTCAACACTGTACAGTTCCTTAAAGTCTTAGAAGAGATGAAGTGTCAGAACAGCTTTGACTTCCTGTAGCACACAAACATAGAGTTAGCATTATCCAAATCTGTGCTAGGACCACTACATAACATACGTCATTCTGTTTTATGAGAGATGATCTCCATTTTAAATTAGAGTACATAGTTTTCATTGATTATTGTAATGGACTATTTTGACTATGACTATCTACACCTATCTGTATGTATACACACACACATAAATGTTATATATTTGGAAAACAACAAATGTATAGAATTTACAAAGAGAACACTATGGCTTACTTATAACATGTTGAATTTCTCCCTACAGATAACTAACAGTATTAAATAATGTGTATGAAAATGCTTTGTAAATTATAAAATGCTATACAAATATGAAATATTGGACTATTAAGGATCAGGTGTTAAGTTAATAGAAATACGTGTACTATTTATTTAAAATATGATTAAGCTACAATATTGATAAGCTATCATCACATTAAAAATCCATTATATGTGGAATATAAACCTAAAATGTGTTAAGGAATAGAGTAATGGCAGGAAACAGGCAGCATCCAAAGTAGTTGATTCCATCAGTACTCATAAACAATTGTTCAAATGTGGAAAATATTAGGGGCAGATAAAAAATAATTTAAGATGTTGGTAATGTGATCATCTAAAGGCAAAAAATTGTATGAAAACCTAGAGGGCATTCAATGCTAAAGGCTCAAGACAATCAGAGAATATATCCATATGAAAATAGAAACTGCCTCAGGAAATAATGAGATATAAGAATATTAATAAGGGACTAACATTAAAAATACAAGTAATCAGCCTTCCATCACAACCAGATACTTATCACAAATATAATATACTTCACCCTTCTGATAGATGTAAGGTAAAAGAAGCTATATTTTCCCCCATATTAAATTTTTATACTTTAAAATGATATTATCAGATATCTATCTCCAATATCCATGTATTTGTGGTGACACAGTTGATCCTGAACCACATGCAACCCTGAGAAATCTGGCCAGAGCTGAGCAGTGATCTATTTGACCTCTACTTTCCCTTTGTACCAGTAATTTAAACCAGATTTTCTAGCCCATATTTATTATCTATATGACTACCGGACTTCTAAGAGGTGAAAATGCTCTTGAGAGGAATCAGAAAAGGGGAACGTGAATAAGCTACATACATTTCTCAGCACATGTGAGCGGACACTGGTTGATCAGAAGAACACATGCATGGACCCTCAGGACAAAAATATACCGTGAATCAAAAGCCTAGAGGCAGCCTAATAAGCGTCAACAAGAAGAACATCTTAATAAGGCTGTCTCTCTACCCGCCTGTCCAAATGCTTTTCCACCTGTGCAGATCCATTCCTGCCTGTCCAGCTGTCTCCACACCTTATCCCTACTTAACCGATGAGCTGTCTCCTCCATGGGCCCTATTGCTAACCCACCATTCCCAGATTCTTCCTGGCTATCCAACTGTTTCCGCCCCCCACCAGCCCCAAACCCTGCCTGTCCGTCCATCTGCCCCCGCTGCTCTTCCAAAGACCTCTTTACCAGCCCCGTTACTGTCCTACCCAGTCAAGTATCTTCCTCACCCTCCAGCCCCAGTTACCCGCAGCTTCTCCAGCAGTTCCCCGCATCTACCAGGCCCAGTTCCTTCTGGCCCACCCGACCGTCTACCGCACCCACCCCGAGGTTCCACAATCATCCCTCCTCCTGACTCACAGAGCAAGTTATTTTACAAAACTTTCAGACCCAAACATCTCCCTCCACAGAGTTGTACTCCAGCCATTCTAATGCCTGCCCTCATTCATCGTTCCCTTCCAGCTCGACTGGTTGTTTCCCCAACCCCTTTGGAAGCTGTCCCCATTTTGAAGCCTTCCTGTTTATCCAGTCACCCCCCTCATCAACCAGTCCCCAATCTTTCTGATATCAGCCTGTTCCCTGAACACCCTGCTACCTTGGATTCTTTTTGGTCGGGCCAGCAGTCTGTTCCACAAAGCACCACATTGTCCGACCTGCCCCAGGCCCTTGCGGACCATCCCCCTGCCTCAGCTCGCTCCCACCCACCTCCCTGTCGCTCCCCGCGCTCTTCCTTGTCTTCCACGCCGTCTCCCTCCCCCCTTGCCTCTTCTTCACCCCCCTCTCCCGCCTCTCCGTCCTGACCCCTCACCTGTCCCCCTCTTCTCCCCCCTCGGCATTTGGCTCCCTCTCCAGTCCATGCCGGGGCCCCTCCTCCCCCATGCTTTACTCTCCCTCTCCTCCTACTTCCCCATCTTCTTTTACTTCTGTTCATCCCCTCAATCCTCTTGGGGGAAGAAAGTAGAGAAGAGAAGAGAAGCAAGTGGAGTAGAGAAGAAAGAAATAGAGAAGAAAAAGTTGAGAGACGTCAACTTTAAAGGTAAATAAATTGGGTTTATTAGATATTTTGTAGATTTAGCAATATTTTGTTTGGGAAGGGTGACCTAAGGGGAAGGAATCTGTGAGAGTAGGAAAGCCTAAAAGGCAGAGAGAGAAACATACTCTCAGCATTCAGGAGCTTGTGCGAAATACCTTCTTGCTCTCTGTGACCGTAGACTCTGTGGTCGCAAAAGGATGGGCCGGAATCTAGTAACCGTTGACCTTGACTATTCCAGTTCGTCCAAATAAAGATATATATGTGTATTGGAGATAGGTATATGTCACATGTGGCCATGTATCCTCCAAACATTTTTACCCTCGTTAAAATAGGAGCAATCGAAGTGAGCTGGGACTAAATGCTCTTGAGAATCACACTGCTGGGTGTATACAGCAGCAGTCCGCTCTTTGATATGCTTCCTTCCCACCCCCCAGAACAGGGCTCCTCGCTCCTTGCTTCTCACTCTGTGGCTGTGCTGAAATAGAACTAGCTAGACGTTTCCAGAAGATGCAGAATTCTAATAGAAAATGGCGTCACCCACTGATAACCTGTGGGTGGCACTTAGCACACTACAGGCAGACCCTGCACTAAAGATACCCCTTGTGTGGCCTGAAAACCATGCTGGTATTTGTGATACAACTGAAAACATTGTGTATATTCTCCTCCGTCAAGGAAGAGCCAGGCTTCCAAACCTAGTAAAGTAGGATGGAGATTCCTGCCTGTCCCAACAGGCAGTTTTCATATTTTCTATCTGCTTGACTCTTCAGCCAGCTTTATTTGGGTTACAGGAATACCTACCAGCTATAACATCATCTCATAACTAAGGGTAGCGCAGCACATTTTTATCCAGATAGGAATGCTCTTACAGAACTAAGGAATGACTCTACGTATCTACAGGAATTCCTTCTACATCTGTCCCAAACACTAGAGAAATAGGACTTAATAACCAAAGCCATGAATAATTGGGCATTCCTGCATGAAGGTGGAGTGCTTTATTGGCACTATAATCCCACAACCATTTTTATTCTACTATTGACTGCCTTAAATTCCCATTCTAATATCCTTAAATGTGATTATCTGAACACACACCCACACACACACCCATACAACATAAATGTGTCATTTGTATAGATAGACTGAGGTTAACTTTATTTAAATGTACTAAATATTTTTTATGTATGGTTCACAGAGCTATAGATAATGCCTTGCCTTCATCATTGTCAAAAAATGGTCACAAGCGTCAGAAACATCTCTTATCCAAAATCAATTGTGGTAAAGAAATGAAGGAAAACAACAGGGCAAACTTGGCTTCTAACAAAGATGCGTTCCAGCTTAAACTGGAAGAAACTCAGAAACTCCTAGAAGATCAGCATCTAAGCAGTTTGCAAGTATGAAACTATAAATATGTTAATAATATTTTAGTATCTAGTAATTCTGTCCCATCTCTGCAGTGATCTACACTAGAGAAAAGTATGGCATTAACCAAGGATAGGATGTGAATGAGTCAACACAAATTCATCACAGATACTACAGAAATAATTGTTTAGATTTTTCTACCCTTTGCTCATTTTTCACTCTGCCTTCTCTATTCTTTTTCCATCTCTCATATTTGGAAAAATATGCTCGATGAATGTTATTTTCTGACCAAACATGAAAGCTATTTAAAACTACAATGTAATATAACTATCATTGTTAGAGACTGGATTATAAAAAGCATCCTGAAAATTATAATACATGTGGACATTAGGTTCTTAATGAAAATATGTCACAATTAACTAGAGATGGCATTTCTGTTCTATCTCTGGTCATCCATTCACTTAGTTTTTTTCCCCCACAAAGTATGGATTTCAGCTGATTTTCCTGAAATGTTCATGCACTGTATTTTTCATGAGTAATTACACACATTTATGAGATTCTTAGTAGGCTGAGATCAAGATTAAATTCATGACCTTGACCCGATTTATCCAGTAACTGAGTAATAAAGACAAGGCTTAAAAAAAAAAAAAAAAAAGGAAAGCAGAAGGCTTCTTCTGGCTATGATGAAATGCCTTCCTACCATAAACAACTATAATTCTGAATAAGATATATGAAACAGCTGTTTTTAGACATCGGACAACAGGCAATATAGGATATGATCTTTAAAAAAGGAAAACAAATGAGATAAGCCCTATAACCACATAGGCTTTCTACCCGGATGTATTCTTTGGACGAGCCTGAAAAAAAATCCACACCCCCTGCAAAGGCACATCAACATTAAGTTACACAGCACAGGGAATGTAGTCAACAGTGTCGTGTGGGGACAGATGCAGCCACACTTGTGGTGAGCCCAGCATCACTGTGTTGTACACCTGGAACTCACGTAACATTGTGTGTCAACCACACTCAAATTTAAGAAATTATTTTGGAAAATTTATCTAGAGGGGGAAAAAAGATCCATAGCAAGTGGGTAAACAAAGATAAGACAGACCACATTAACTTCAGGCCAGAAGACAGTGAAGCATTTTTAAAGTTCTGATATCAGAAAACTCCTGGCCTAGAATTCTATATCCAGCTAGCAATATCCTTCTGGAACGAAGGCAAAATAGGCATCTTCAAACAAACAAGAGCTGAACACCATGGCACTCCACCAGCATCTGCACAATAAGAAATGCCCCTGGAGTTTTTCAGGAGGATGAAAACTCAGCTCTGTAGTGATAGCAGATTAGTGGTAGTTAGTGGTGGGTAGGTGTGGACTTCCAGCAGATGGAAAGGTTCTACGGATTGTTTGATACCGTGGGTATGGGTGAATAATTTGTCAAAATCCATCAAACTGTACATTTAAAATGGATGCATTTGGTAGATAAGTCTACCTCAATGACGATTTTAAAACTGAAACACAGAGTATAAACTAGTACAGTCTGCATATCAGTAACTTGCAAGCAAAAGTTAAATCTGATCATAATGTTTCATTTCTTAGTGATGAGAAAAAATCTGGGGGGAAAGGTATAGTTTGGTGAAATCAGAAGTTGCTAAACTTCTTTCCAGGTGCTTCGGGGTATGAGGCCTTCACAGACCTGTAACAACAAAAATCTTAGAGCCATGAATATCACACATACCATCTAGAAAGACCCTCAAACCCAGATTTCTACATCTCATTAGATGTCATCTCAAAGAAGCCCTCGAGGGTTTCCTTATGTTTGTCTATTAAAGCAGCTCAGCTGCACAAACAGGCATTGACGGAGTGTGCTCTGTTTTGTTCTCCTGATCAGGCTGAGTGACCATCACTTTCAAAAGACACCAGAGCACTGAGGATGTGATAAGTACGTGGTAAATGCTAGTAATAGCAAACTCTCATAATCGTTTTCAAAAGTTATTACGTGATAATATATCAATAAGCATTAACTATACAAACTAAAATAGTTTTATTCTGTAATTGATTTCCTGGGTTTCTTCATTTATTCTTGGGCTAGAAAAATCATATATTTTTGTTTAGTATCAGAATATTTAAATTTTCTAAAATTTGCAAAAAATCTTAAGGGACGGTCATTTCCTTTCTTTTGAGTCCATTTAACTTTTTGACGAGATTTACGATCTGAAATCCTCTTGAATATATTTATTTATATGTGATACAAATTAATGCAGGTATATATGGTATATATGAGAAATTAGAAGTATCTTTAAACACATACCACACTTTGAAGTGATCATGAAATTTTATTAAAGACCGATAAGTTCCATGAAAGTTCATTGAAATAGTGATGAGAATGTCTATGAAATTCATAGAAATTATTGCTGTCCTAAGTCTCAAAAAAGGACTCATTAAAATCAGCAGTTGTCAATTCTATATCCTCATTAGAATTGCCTGGAGTACTTTAAAATAAAAATACAAATACATGGACCCCATCTGAGCATTAAATCAGCAGGACCCACATGTAGTTATTTCTATAAAGCTCTTCCTGTGATTGTAACATGCAGTCAGAGTGTAGAACCCCACAGTGGAGGCCATGAGACTACCTGGTCTCAGAAGATCAACTCTACCAACGGGAAACTCACATTAGGTTCACAGAGCTTTCAGGAGCCTCATTCAAGTCCAGTGAAGCTTTCAAGGAAAAAATACTCTTTGTAAATAACTATTTTTCAGAATTTCACATGGTGTTATAAAACCTTCAAGAAACTCAATACTCCAAATGGAATAGCAGTAGTAAAATTATTTTCGAAGCAATAACCATGGCTGGAATAATTAGGTACTTACTTTAGGTATAGAAATTAAGGCAAACACAACTTATTGTCAGTCTTTTTTGACTCCCTCTTCTTCACTCTGAGGACTACTCCAGGGATATAGATTATTTAGATGCACTGTTCATAGTCATACTACTTTATTTTATATGACAAGGACAATAGGACTCAGTAACAGTGGTGTGTCGAATCATTAATTTTGGTGTTTAAAAAGTTCTAAGCTATATAACAATGTTCCTTTTTGTTTTCTCTTTCAGAAATTTTGTGATGAAGTTAATCAAATAACAAATTCTGAAACCCTCTCGAGTATAGACAGTCTTGAGGCTGGGGAACATGAAATATATTTAACCCTTAACAAGGAGCCTTCCACATCAAACCAGAAGAATTTCATTTCTCTCAAATCAGTAAATCTGCAATCAACTAATCTAAGCTGCTTTGATGAAGATAAACTGTCATTCTCTAAAACTCAGCATATAAATAATTGGCTCATAAATGTAAATGATCCAAATACTCAGACTGTCACACCTTTCTCAGATATTTTAAGTAATCCTAATGTTCTGCCTTCTTGTGAATGTTTTAATGGTAAAGAACAAAATCCACCTGTGGAAAGAATGACAAGTAGTCCTAATAATTCAGTAGCCTTTGTATATAGTCCACCTATATTTATACAAGACGGAAAAAGCAAAGAGGTCTCTGAAACTAGCCCTGTAAGGGCAACTGACTCCTCTTCTGGAACATTCAAAAGGGAGAGACCATTTGTTACTGAGAGCCCAACATTTAAATTCAGCAGAGTCTGGACCACTCCAGATTGTCTAACACAGGAAATGGCTGTGTTTTCAGACCAAGGGAACAATTCCGAATTAGCACAAGAAAATAGAACTACTTCATTTGTACCTATGGCAACACGTATAGTTTTGCCATGTAATACGCAGTCAGCTAGGCCATTACCAAAGAGCAGTCTACATATAAAAGAAGTCGACCCGGTGCAGTGTTCTGATAAGTTAGGAGAATTGACAAACGTTGAAGGTGAGAAGTTAAAATATTTTCATCGTAATAAGGAAGAGTTGCCTTTGTTTTCAGGTGATTTTCAAGTTGCCTATATACCTCACAACTCTGATTCAAATGATAAAAAACACAAAATACCCCAAACATCAACGTCAGCGTCTAACATAATTTCTAACTGTGACTTAGTGGGTCAGCACAAGAAGATGAAATACAACATTCATGAGAGAAATGGTGTGAGGTTTCTGAAAAGTATTTTAAAAAAAGAATCTAAATACGAACACAATTGTTTTAAGGCACTAGTTATAAACCATAGCTTTAAGTTAGGAAATCAAAAAGCAGCAGCTATCAGAGATAGTATTGAATTAACAAAAGAAAAAGGTACAGAAATTCCAAAGACTATTAAAAAACTGAGGTGGTTTGATGAAACTGGAGATACAGAAAAAAATGCTGCAGACCATCATTCATTGAGGAACAGAATAGAACTATCTCAGCAGTGGTCTCAGCCTTTCCACGTTCAGACTAAAAGTGGTGCTGCCAGCCTTGCAATTAGAGTTCCTGCCCTAAGTGCTGTAGATTCTGCTGATGGAGCGAAGCCCGAGGAGGATTCTGTCTCGAACAATGTCGCTGCTTTAGGAGAAGCTGGAACAGACCATGTGCCTCTGAATTGTTTTATGCCTTCAGGTTGTAACGTTGCTAAACAAGCCTGGCCACCCTCAGAAAAAGAGGGCAGTCAACCCCCTCTGCAAAGTGGCGGTTCTAAAGCTCAGAAAGCAAATCCACCACGGGGTGGTACAAGAGTAATCCGAAGAACAAGGTCTGCTCAGGTGCAGTCAGCCTTCGTGTGCACACACACAAAAGGCACTGTCCTTCGGCCCCAGTCCGAGAGCAGAGCCAACAGACTTTTACAAGCTCAGGGTAGACTGATCGTGCCTCATCCTCCTAAGTCTCCGTCAAATATTAGGAGTGGTAAAAATATACAAGTGTCTCAGTGTCAGCCGGTAACACTTGAAGATTCTCAAAACGTGATTACAAGTCACTATTTTCGTTCAAAGCATGTGCTTCCAACAGAACACAGGTTCAATCACTGGAATCAGGAGAGTCATTTTCCACCCGCAGCTGTTTGTTCGGACTCTGTCACTGTGATGCCTTCTCTACCGTATTGTTCTTCTGAGTGCCAAACTTTAGCAAAAATAAATGGTTCAGATGGCACTCAAGTGGTGCCCCAGCAAGGTGAGACTTCACATTGCACCCACAGATGTCCTGTTTACGAAGAAAGCCATCCCTCTGTGACTCTGAGAACTGCTCGAGAAGAATCTGTTCCCTTGTGGAAAAGACAGAATAATATTCCGGGCCAAAGTGAAAAGGCTGCTGGTAAGAACATACATTTATTTTTATAAATTGTACAACGTTTTAAGTTCCTGTGAAATTTTTCTTATTGAGGTACAGCAGTGTGCACCCTGTAGATACGATATTAATAAGTTAGCGGTACGGAAACAGTCTGTCCCTGAACATTCTATCCTTGTCTGTCTAGCTGGAGCTTTTAAGAGAACCACCCAGCCCTCACTCAACTAAAATTAGAAACTTGCCAGCCTCCATTTTTTTCTCTTGTTAGTTTAAAAGAGGGAGGACAAAGAGTAGGGTCTGATTTTTACCCCATATCATTCTGCCATTACATTACCCCAATATCCTAGTCAAAATTTCTGTCAAAATAAGCACAGTGGAAAATATTTTTTAAATTATTCTAAATAGGTAAATAAATGTGGTTATAATACCTTATTTTATTTTTCTTTAAAATGTTTGTTAAATTGAATAGTTATAAGCTAATGACAGGTGTGCCTAACCCTTCCACTCCCTTTCCAAAAGACTGGCAGCCCTACTTTTATCCCCTATGTATGCTGGTTTTCATGTGGAGGAAAAGTGATAGTATTACTTTAAACAGTTTGAAGATTAGCTCCCCATAGAATGCCAGTTACCCTTAGTAGCTACCTAACTCCTCCTGAAGCTCTTTTCCTCTGGGGGAATGGTCTAGACGCCCATAAATTTCCTGCCAGTAGGAATCAGTTGCCTATCGAGGAATAGATAGGACTTGGGAAAAAATCGGAAAAGCTATTCTTTTCTTTTCCCAAAGATGTGAGTAAATACTAAGATGATGTAAAGAGGGGGTTAGTTTAAAATTTAATAGTCAAAGTCTTCTTTAATTAGGCTGAGATTTTAAGGACAGGGGGCTTTTGTTGTAACTCATCACTGTCTCCCCAGGTCCTGGCACTTAGTAGTCACCCACACTTTTCTTAAATTGAATGGATGTAAGTCATATTAGCAGATGGGAAGCTAAATGCAAAGACTCTAAACTAACAACTTTTAGTACTTGGCTACAAAAATCTAGATGGTTTTTTTTTTTCATTTTTCATCACGTGTCCTCCTTCATCCCCATCAACTGTTTCACCCATCCCCCCAACCCACCTCCCTTCTGGTGACCCTCAGTGTATTCTTTATAGTTAAGAGTCTGTTTCTTGGCAAAAACCTAGATTTTTTAAAAATTATATTTCTCACTAAAGATTTTATTTCCTTTTAATCTAGGCATTTTACAATGTAACTTTAGTTTTCACACTACTTCCAAAAAAAAAGAAAGCATCATATAGATTGAGTAAAAACCATTGTATGTATATATATACCACATCCCACCAGTTCTCTATAGTTGAAGAGTCTGTTTTTTGGTTTGGTTTTCACTTTTTTCTTCAGTTGTTCTGTTTCTTAAATTCCACTTACGAGTGAGATCATATGGTATTTGTCTTTCTCTGACTTATTTTGTTTAGCGTTAAACTCTCCAGATCCACTCCTGTGGTTGCAAATGGCAAGATTTCATTCTTTTTATGGCTGAATAATATTCCAGTGTATGTGTGTGTATCACGTCTTCTTTATCCCTTCATCTATCAGTGGACACTTAAGCTGCTTCCATAATGTATTAGATCGTATGGTAGTTCTATTTTCAACTTTCTGAGGAACCTCCATACTGTTTTCCAGAGTGGCTGCACCAGCTTGCATTCCCACCAACGGTGTAGGAGGGTTCCCCTTTCTCCGCATCCCCGCCAACATCTGTCGTTTCCTGACTTGTTCATTTTAGCCATTCTGACTGGTGTGAGGTGGTATCTCATTGAGGTTTTGATTTGGATTTTCCTGATGGTAGTGATGTTGAGCATCTTTTCATGTGTCTGTTGACCATCTGTAGGCCTTCTTTGGAGAAATGTCTGTTCATGTCTTCTGCCCACTTTTTAATTGGATTGTTTGTTTTTTGGGTGTTAAGTTGTATCAGTTCTTTATATATTTTGGATACTAGCCCCTTATTGGAAATGTCATTTGCAGATATCTTCTCCCATTCAGTGGATGTGTTTTAGTTTTATTGATTGTTTCCGTTGCTGAGCAGAAGCTTTTTATTTTGATGTAGTCTCAATAGTTTATTTTTGCTTTTGTTTCCCTCACCTCAGGAGATATATCTAGAAAAATGTTGCTACAGCCAATATCAGAGAAATTAGTGCCTGTGCTCTCTTCTAGGATTTTTATGGTTTCAGTTCTCTCATTTAGGTCCTCAATCCATTTTGAGTTTATTTTTGTGTATGGTGTAAGAAGCTGGTCCACTTTCATTGTTTTGCATGTTGCTGTCAAGTTTTCCCAGCACCATTTGTTGATGAGACTTTTTCCCATTGCATATTCTTGTCTACTTTGTCGAAGATTAATTGACCACATAATTGTGGGTTTACGTCTGGGTTTTCTATTCTGTTCCATTAATCTATGTATCTGTTTTTGTGCCAGTACCATACTGTTTTGGTTGCTATGGCTTTCTAGTATATCTTGAAATCTGGGATTGTGATACCTCCAACTTTATTTTTCTTTTTCAAGATTGCTTTGGCTATTTGGGGTCTTTTGTGTTTCCCTACACATTTTGCGATTGTTCTGGGTCTGTGAAAAATGCTGTTGACATTTTGATAGCAACTGCATTACATCTGTATGTTGCTTTGGATAGTATGGACATTTTAATAATATTTGTTCTTCCAACCAATGAACATGGAATATCTTTCCATTCATTTGTGTTGTCTTCAATTTCTTCCATCAGTGTTTTATAGTTTTCAGAGTACAGGTCTTTCACCTCCTTGATTAAGTTTATTCCTAGGTATTTTATTCTTTTTGGTGCAGTTGTCAATGTGATTGTTTTCTTCATCTCTCTTTCTGCTACTTCATTATTAGTATATAGAAATGCAACACATTTCTGTCTATTGATTTTGTATCCTGCAACCTTACTGAATTCATTTATCAGTTCTAGTAGTTCTCTGGTGGAGTCTTTACAGTTTTCTATATATAGTATTATGTCACTGCAAATACTGGAAATTTTACTTCTTCCTTACTGATTTGGATGCCTTTTATTTCTTTTTGTTGTCTAATTGCTGCAGCTAGGACTTCCAGTACTGTGTTGAATAAAAGTGGTGAAAGCAGACACCCTTGTCTTATTCTTGATTTTAGGGGGAAATCTCTGTTTTTCACCACTGAGTATGATGTTAGCTGCGGGTTTTTCATTTATGGCCTTTATTATGTTGAGGTACAATCACTCTAAACCTACTTTGTCAAGGGTTTTTATCTTGAATGGATGTTGTACTTTGTCAAATGTACTTTTTCTGCATCTACTGAAACAATCATATGGGTCTTATCCTTTATTTTATTAACGTGGTATATCACAGTGATTGATTTGCAAATATTGGACCACCTTGCATCCTAGGAATAAATCCCACTTGATCTCAGAATGATTTTTTTAATGTATTGTTGGATTCAGTTTGCTAATATTTTGTTGACAATTTTTGCATCTATGTTCATCAGAGATATCGGCCTGTAGTCCTCTTTTTTTGTAGTGTCTGCATCTGATATCTTTTGGTATCAGGGTAATGCTGGCTTCATAGAATGAATTTGGAAGTTTACCTTCCTCTTCTGTTGTTTGGAATAGTTTGAGAAGAATAGGTATTAACTCTCCTTTAAATGTTTGGAAGAATTCACCTGTGAAGCCATCGGGTCCTGGAATTTTGTTTGTTGGGAGTTTTCTGATTATTGATTCAATTTTATTGCTAAGAATTGGTCTGTTCAAACTTTCTATTTCTTCCTGCTTCAGTTTTGGTAGTTTATATGTTTCTAGTAATTTACCCAGGTTTTCTAGGTTGTCCAATTTATTGACATATAATTTTTCATAATATGTTCTACAACCCTTGGTATTTCTGTGGTGTCAGTTGTTATTTTTCCTCTTTCATTTCTGATTTTGTTTATTTGAGTCTTCTCTCTTTTTCTTTTTTTATGAATCTGGCTAGAGATTTATCAATTTTATTGTTTGTTTTTGTTTTTGCTTTTTTCAAAGAACCAACTCCTGGTGTCACTGATCTGTCCTATTGCTTACATATCATTTATTTCTGCTCTAATCTTTATTATTTCCTTCCTTCTGCTGTTTTGGGGTTTTGTTTATTCTTTTTCTAGCTCCTTTAGGTATAAAGTTAGGTTGTTTATTTGAGATTTTTCTTGCTTCTTGAGGTAGGCCTGTATTGCTATAAACTTCCCTCTTAGAACCATGTTTTTGGCATCCCAAAGATTTTGGACCATTGTGTTTTTATTTGTCTCCATGTAATTTTTGATATCCCCTTTGATTTCTTGGTTCACCCATTCATTTCTTAGTAGCATGTTATTTACTCTCCATGTATTTGTGTTCATTCCAGATTTTTTCTTGATTGATTTCTTTTTTTTTAAATAGTTTTTTATTGTTATGTTAATCACCATACATTACATCATTAGTTTTTGATGTAGTGTTCCATGATTCATTATTTGTGCATAACACCCAGTGCTCCACGCAGAATGTGCCCTCTTTAATACCCATCACCAGGCTAACCCATCCCCCACCCCTCCCCTCTAGAACCCTCAGTTTGTTTTTCAGAGTCCATCTTCTCTATGGTTCGTCTCCCCCTCCGACTTATTCCCCTTCATTCTTCCCCTCCTGCTATCTTCTTCTTCTTCTTTTTTTTTTTTTCTTAACATATATTGCATTATTTGTTTCAGAAGTACTGATTTCTTGATTGATTTCTAGTTTCATAGGGTTGTGGTCAGAAAAGTTGTATCATATGACTTCTGTCTTTTTTAATTTGTTGAGACTTGTTTTGTGGCCTAATATGTTATGTATTCTGGAGAACGTTCCACGAGCACTTGAAAAGAATGTGTATCCTGCTGTTTTAGGATGGAATGTTCTGAATGTATCTGTTACATACATTCTGGTCCAGTGTGTCATTCAAAGCCATTGTTTCCTTGTTGATTTTCTGTTTGGATGACATATCCATTGATGTAAGGGGGGGTTT